TTTTCCCAGGAGGTCTCCCATCCAGGTACTGACCAGGCTCACACCTGCTGGGCTCCAGTGGGTTGCCAGTTGTGAGTTGCAGGGTGATATATGAGTTGTATACATGATATTTCTTGGTATGAACAATGGACTTAACACAGTTTAGGAATAAAATACATTATTTCTACGTTCATCCACCTTAAAAGTATAAGCTAGAATTTGTTTCCCTGCTTAGAATTCATAGAAAATTTCCATAAATCTTATGGAGCATCCAAAATCATTGAAACATACAGTGTATTTTCTGATTTTGTGCAGTAGAGTGCGAATTTAGACCATACTTTGCTTCTGTAGCTTTTGCAATTTTTATCTGTTGTGCATACAAGTTATAGCACTGTAACTGAAAATCCTGAAAAACTCCTTTGAAATTCCCAAACATTTCACACACCCCCAGGTGGTAGCGGCTGTTGGTTATTCTCCAACACACATGGAAATCGAACACAACGACCAAGAAATGATCAATATTTGTAATGCACATATTTTAAATGATGTGTGATTCTTAATCATCACCTCAATCAATTTATTCGCAAGGGATTGTGGTAAATTTGCGTGAAGATATGTAAAAGCTTTTAAGTTCTGATTAAGTAACATTCACTTTAAAAAACGCACAGATATAATTTGTAAATTCAATAAAATGGGATGTCTTTGGAAAGAGGGGAGTACTTTTGCAGGGCAGTGTATATTGAGAAACCCCCTTAGTGAGAAGGCTTGTGGTGTTTCCCTCCCTTCGGAGAGAAGATGGCAGGTACAGATAGAGCCTTAAGTGCAGATTGATTTTCTTTTCCGCAGGGCCCCTGTAGTAGCTTTGCCGATCACCAGGGGTCCTCGGACCACAAGCTGGAAACCAGTGGCTGAGACTCCAAACTTCAGTTTTTAACACTGTGTGAAAAACCACTGAACTCACAGAAAGTAACTGTATTCTATAGGATGCTTGGAATGCTTACAAAATACTGTATATAATGACTATTCATTATCAATGAAGATATTTATTATCATCACCTGTTCAATTATCCTTGAAAAGCATGGTGGGATGTTCCAAAATTAAAGAAAAAAGCACTGATTGTGCGTCTCAGTGGTCGCCTCGGTGGTGTGGATATTTATCAGAGTGGTATATCCACAGTCGGGGCTGTGGTGAAGTCTAAAGGTCATTTGCCATTGAGTTATGACAAACGAATGAGTAAGTGATTCACAGGAACTCAACACGCAGCGTCTTCTCATTACAGAAGATCAATGTGATGACTCCAACAGTGGCAGCCTGCATGTGCTCACAGCTGCATGGGCTAACTCTCGGTTGGCACGCTGAAGTCCAAGTTATAGCGACAGCATATTCTGAATCATGCACACGCCTCATAAGGCTTAGACCGTACAGAATGTAAAATGAAGTGATTTGCTCAGAAAGAATTACAGAAGCAGATTCTCATTAATGTTATTCAGAACAAACAAAACAATGTTTGGGAGCAGAGAGCAGAGCAGGTATTTATCTTGCTTTGTAAAGACGGAGTTTGAATCATACACAGAAAAGGGACTTGTACAATGTAAATATGCTTCTTCACTCGTAAACGCTCAACCGACTTAATCTGGACTCTTACCTTTTCTCTTTCTTACCTCAAGCTCGCCCTTCTGTTCTTAAGTGCTGTCCTTCATAAACTCAATATATTATATAAGACTGAATGAAAAAAATGTCTAAAGGCCAAGAAGTCACACCTGAAGGTCAGTTGATGAAAACTAAAAAGCCACTATGTCTTGTTTAATAAAAAGGTAAAGGTTATAATTCTAGTTAAAATAATGTCTTCTGTTCTTTTGAATAATATGAAATAACTCCAATGTGACCACTTTTCTTTCCTCATCACACGTCTCTGTAAATAAAACTGCTGTTATTATGCCCTTTGTATTAAACACAAAGAAAAACCATATAAAATGAACACTAGTGCCAAATATGTGAGGCAGGTAAAATAGTTGTTTTATTACGCCATAATGGTTTATACCATGTGTGAGGTAACTAGATACTGTAATAATTAAAAATATAATCATGTTAAATAAAACGTAGACTGAATGTTGGTGCAGTGATGAGCATTGCTATCTCATTGTGCTGGGCCCAGGGTTCAATTCCAGGGATTCTATCTGCATGGAGTCTGCATGTTCCCCTCATGCCTGTGTGGGTTCCTCCTACAGTCCAAAAACAAACTGTTTATGTAGGTTAATTGACTCCTGGGAAAATCGGCTCTGGTGTGAGTGTGTCTACCCTGCAATTAAAGGAGGGTTATTTCAGATGATGACTAATTTCCAAATATCACAGAAACAGTTCACAGCCATCATTCACTCACTGGGCTGAGACACTGAGTAAAACAATGTGGAATACACAGAAACATATTTAAACGTTTTGTTTAATTGTTTTAGCCTTTTTAAATACATTTTAGTCACTTGCATTTGTCTGTCCTTGTTTTGGAATATTGTCAGATGTTCCTGTTTTTTTAATCAAATGCAAATAGTAAATCTACAAGGAAACTACATTGTTTTTTTTCTTCTCCAGCTGTTCTTTCTGCTAATTGCTCAACATGTTAGAACAGGTTAGTGTTGCAGACCAACACCCTAGTATCTAGAGTTTAAAAAGTAACTTACCTTTGCAAAGGCAAATAGAAATCAACTGCTGGTATAAACCAAGATGCAAACACCAAAGTTATAGAAACAGAGGTTTTGCCATTTGTCTTTTCGAGATAAGTCAGATTCCAAAGTATTCAAATCATTTAGGTTCTAGCAACAATACTTACACAGCATTGTAACATATACAGATATTGCAGGGACGTGGAACCATCAAGTAAAAATAGATATTTTGTCCAGTTACTTTTCAAGAGGAAAAGGACAGACCATATAAAACATACTGGATTATATGATTATAATATATGCAATGCATTGGGTGTTCGTAGCTGTTTTACACAGAACGTGAATTTTGTATCTGTGAAGGGTACTTTTCACTTTCATCTTCAAGAAAAGATTGCGCAGTATGCGCAGTATGGCCTTCTCCCTTCATGCTGTCACTCTCAATACGTTGTAGGTAAACTGTACAAGTACTAAACACATCTCGGTAGACTACTGCTGCACCATCAAGCTGAAAATAGCATGAACTTTCTTGAGTTCTGAATGTGTCAGATACAGTGGCGAGAATTAAGTTAGAACTCCCTTATTCCTGGCAGGGGGTTTGTGGGTTCAGTCTTGGGTGGAGCCCTACAGTTAGTAATAATAATTGCTAACACTTACATAGCGCTTTTCTGGACACTCCACTCAAAGCGCTTTACAGGTAATGGGGATCCCCTCCACCACCATCAGCCCCACCTGGATGATGTGACAGCAGCCATAGTGCGCCAGAACGCTCCCCACACACCAGCTCTCAGTGGGGAGGAGAGCAGAGTGATGAAGCCAGTTCAGAGATGGGGAATATTAGGAGGCCATGATTGGTAAGGGCCAATGGGAAATTGGGCCAGGACACTGGGGTTACACCCCTACTCTTTTCGTGAAAGGCCCTGGGATTTTTAATGACCACAGTCAGGACCTTGGTTTTACGTCTCATCCGAAGGACGGCACCTTTTTACAGTATAGTGTCCCCGTCACTATACTGGGGCATTAGGACCCACACAGACCACAGGGTGAGCGCCCCCCTGCTGGCTCCACCAACACCTCTTCCAGCAGCAACCTTAGTTTTTCCCAGGAGGTCTCCCATCCAGGTACTGACCAGGCTCACACCTGCTGAGCTTCAGTTGAGCCCTGAAGTGAAGTACTTCACTCGCATTGCTTTATTAATACACACCCTTGTAGCAAAGGTCACAACTTTAAGTTGCTCTGGATAAAAATGTCAGACGAATGTCCTCACAAATGCAGACCAGAACTCGACTGTGATTCATTTCCTGAGCTCATTGTACGGCAAAGACCCCCAAAGCAGGTCTGCAAGGCGAACAACTGCCTCATGCGTTGATTCGCATGGCTTTGGCTGAGCTGTGGGCATGCACGCTTGCACCGCCTGTAGGTATCACAGCTCTGCCCAAGTGGCCGACCGGCACAAACTCCTCTTTCAGGCAGGGGTGCACTGGGGATGGTTGCAGGAGGATGTGGTGTGTGTGTGGTGGGCAGTTAATTTCTTTTCTTGTACTTCATACGCTAAAACCACAATGTATTACGAGAACACGCAATGGGTCTCAAGTGCAACATTTTCTACCCATTTTGGGGTCGACTGGTACACAGTTTTGAGTAGACATGGAAACAGAATTGTAAGGCAACTGGATTTCTGATGTGTTCCTTTTTTTTGTTTTTCTAAGTACCGCGTTTGTAGCTTTACTATCTAGAATCACAGCAAGTCCAGTTTTTGTCAAGTGTTGGTAATGTATGCAAGACGGACTGTAACATTTTGATTTGAACGAACTTATTTTTCCATGCTTAATAAACGACAAGTAAAGGCAAAGACAATCTGTACTGTACAAGAACTGTTCTTTTAATTTGAATGGATGTTTATTGAACCAGGTTTCAACGTGCTCAATCCGTGTACTCCATTTCAGTTTTTGCTATCGTGAGAATTTAAAAAATTGATCATAACCTGAAAGGTGAAGAGTCCTTAATGGGTTTTCCAACTTAACGTGTACGTGTCTTTAAAATGGGGGGGGCATGAGACAGCCAAAGAGCAGATTCTCTTCTTTTAAAATGAAGGGGGAAAAATGATTGTGTCGGCAGGACACGAAAATCGACGCGTTTCTTTTCAGACGGATTCAACGTGGAAGGCAATGCACACGCCGGGAAAGGCACCAAAACCGCTCTCCGCGGCGCTGCTGTTGTCCCCGACAATCGCGATACGTCAGCCTGAGAAACTTTTCCGAGATGCTGCATCCCCGTCTGAAGCCGAGGATCCGGCCAGAAATCAATACAGACACACAGGGAAAAAATCCTCCCACCTGTTTCCCTCCCACGTGTCTACTAGTTTCCACTTGAGCAACAACAACAAACCCCCCTTTTCAATCCCCCCTGCCTCTGTCCTCCTCAACCCCGAACCTGGATATACTCCCCCCTCGGACCTTAAACAGAGACGGAGGAAAAAAGTGAGGAAGGAGGGAGAGAGAGAGAGACAGACACACACACACAGGGAGAACGAAGGGGGAAAAAAAGCGCAATCTCGCGATAGGGGCTGGCTAACGCGGCCGCCATATTGAGTGACAATATTTTGATTCGTATCGGTTGTTGGAAGAGAGAAAAAAGAGAGAGGAGCCCGGGGGGGGGGTCGTGAAAAAGGGAAGTTAGGAGGAAGAAGAAGAAGAAGAAGAAGAAGGAGGGGGGGGGGAAAGGAGAAGAGGAGCCGTGGGGGGGACGAGTCGCCCGAGACGGTGATCGGCGGGGGGGCTGCGGCGTGGTGTGTCCCCGCTCCCTCCTACCCTCCAAGCCCAAGGCCAGGGTGCTGCTCTCCTCCCCGCTTGTCTGACAGCACCCCGGCCTGCGGAGACTCGGCGGCGGGGTCTCGGGTGGCGAAGGTGGCCCGCGGAGACGGTGAGAGAGCCTGGGGCCTGGCGTGTCCGTGTGCTGGGAGGGGGGGGTCGGTCAGCCTGGCTTTGCTTCGCTGCTGAGTTTTATTTTCTGCCCGTCCGGTCCCGTCCCGTCCCGTCCGCCTGACTGACCGACCGACCGACTGGCGAGCTCGGCGTTGGCCGCGGAGGTCCGTCCAAAACCTCAAAAAGAGGGAGCGGGAAAAAAAAAGAAAACCCAAACTTTTTAAGACCTTCCAGGCGGCTTTTATTCCCTTTTCTTTTTTTTTTCCCACCCTCTTTTAAGTATTCCTAGGAATGCCGCGGTGGATTGGGTTACGCTACTGCAAGATTGACTTGACGCTGCTGTCAAGCGGTCGGTTTGTTATAGAAAGTTAGTTTTTTTTTTGCGGGGGGGTGTTCATGGCGTGTAAGGTTTGAAAGTGGCTAGTTATGCATTTTTTTTTTGGGTTCGTACACACGCTAGGAAAGCCTCCCGGGAGCTTGAAAGCAACCCCGGGGCTTTGCCTGCACTTTCCGTGAAAATGGAAAGTCCGGAGCCGACTTGCCTGCTCTCCGCCAGCGGCGACCAGGCTCGGAGCTGCACACTTTTTTTTTTATATATATCCCTCTGGTTCCCTTTTGCTTGCGAGCTTCACGCATGTTGCTGCCGGGGGGAAACCACCAGCTAGAAAGAGAGAGAGAAGGGAGACAGAGCTGGGAGCGAGCGAAGAAGAAGGAAAAAAAAAACCCAGCCTTTTCGTTTTCTGAACGGTGTTTCTGTGGTGCCACACGTTATTGGCGCTGAGCAGTCCTGTCAGGCATAGTTGAGGTTTCAGGGGTGTGTTTGACTGCGTTGTTAGTGAAATGGGAAACGAGCCTGTGGCTGTGCGCATCCCTCGGAGGAGTGCAGGCCTCGTAACGAGGAGACCGGGGCGGTGTGGGGCATCCCGTGGACTGTACCTAGCGGTGAATCTGGGTTGCACGAATATTTTGCAAATGCAACCCCTCTCTTCCCTTTACTGGCAACGGCCCTGTGGCACGGCTTGTCTCTGCCTCATCAGCAGCACGGTTAACTCTTGCACCTCTGGGTCAGCTTTTCTTTCCGTCTTGTCTGCATGACCATTTGAGAGCGGCCTCGTTCACTTCAGCTAAGCCTCCGTGCTTGATCAGTAGACATTTAATGATCAGATACCCCCCCCCCTCCACCCCCTGTTTCACCTGTGCAACCCTTGTTTTGTCACATCACAAAAAATGGCATCTGGAAGTTAAGTGTGGAACTATTTCATTTCAGGAACTTGTATATTTTGCAGGTCTGCGTTTGGGTTCTGGCAACACTGTCTGAACACAGTAACCTGACTGACTGGCTTGCCTTTTCCTCTCGAGGTCCAGTTCTGTTGAAACCCACCCTGCCATCCTGCCGCAGGCTCAGTATTTACAAGCCCGGCTCGTGTCGCTCTGCAGATATAGGCCACCTCGGCGCAAGATTGCGTCTTCACCGCCTGTGGTTAGCGAGCCGTTAGTGTTATCATCGCACTTCCCTGTGCCTAGTGACAGTGCTCGATGAGTGTGCTGGCCCTTTGCTGAACGGGAAGGCGTATTCTGACCCCCTGGTTCGGCTTCAGTTTCAAAACGCTGCTACGCCTGTGTTTTTCTCAGGCTTATCATTGTGGAATGCCCTGATCCTAGAGGTACTTCGGGGGTCTCGGGAACCGGGGGATCGCAGCCCGAAGCCCGAGCAGGGAGGATTTTATTCCTGCCGCCCCAGCACAGTGGGCTTGAGGCCGTTTGTGAGTGTGCTGTATCTGACAATATGTGATTTAGAGGCCGTGGCAGACCTAAGTCTAAACAGGTTTTGAGCTTTCTCAGCAGTTTCTAGCAGAGGCTGTTGCACGACTTATCGCTGTTATCTCATTCCCAGGGAGTTTTCAGCCCCCTCCCCCGCTCTCCCAACCAATAATTATCTGTGAAGTGCACCTTTGGTTTCAGAGCGGGGGCACCTGGTGCAGAACGTGTTGGGAAAAAAAAAAAACCAAAACAACAAAAGGGGGAAGGCCCTTAAAACCAAGCCCTCCCGGGGGTTTGGGTGTTGTCTTTCGAATTCCCGATGTGACGTCCGTGGCAGGGGGCCGTCTGCTGAACGACGGTGTGACCGCTGGGCAGCCGCGCTGGCGTCCGCAGTGGGACTGGCCGGTGTGCTGTGTCTGTTGGGACGTATTGGGCCGGCAGTGTCCAGTCTGAGCTCAGTGGGTGCCGGACGTGTGGGAAGTGAATCCCGGGTCCAGTCGCTGGCAGCCTGCGCCTGTCCTGACTTGCGGTCATGATTACACTTCGGAAGGGCAGCACGTCCGGGGCAGCACGCGCACGCTCGGTCGTCTTGGCTAACCGCTCTTGCTCTTCTCTGAGGGGCATTATTGAAGGCTTTCTTAGTTCCCAGAAATCAAGCGACTTTCGGCAGCTTTCAGATCGTGGCTCCGTTGCTCTCCCGCTGTCCCGGTGAGCGCGCAGTGCGTGTTCCTGCCCCGTCAGTGGTGTGAGTTTACGTAGGGATGTGAAATGGCTGATCAAAACAAAAACCTGCGTTTCCTAACCTTGAGGTAGTTGTGCCTGTGCCAGCAGCAAGATGATTAATCTATTCTGTGAGCGACCCGCCGGAGTCCACTTAAAAATGGATCTCACTTAAAAAGTATGCCATGTCGTAGACAGAAAGACAAGGGGGCATCAAGATGAACAAGTATGAAATTGTGATATTTTCTGAGAAGTTGGCCTTAGTATTTGTTTTCTTGAAGAAGGGGGGTGAATCTACATTTTCTTTCACCTCCAGCTATCACTTCCTTTCAAATAGAGGTTTTTAAATGTCTGGTTGGAAGTGTGTCATTAGGCGTGACTTTTTTTCCATTAGATGTGTTCACAGAGAGAACCATCAAATGTCTGTCTTCAGTGAGTTAAAGCCTCCAGCCTGTTTCAGAAATGGATCTGCCTTTTTGGAGGAAAAGGGTGAAAAGCAGTGCATCCTTCCCAGAGAAACTGCTAAAGACATTTTCTCTTTTCTCTGTCCTGAAAAGCTCAACTATTTTTTGAATTTATATGGCTGATTGTGTAGGGTCCCTGATAACCTTTATAGCTGTTAGGAATTTCAAAGTATATGTATTTTTTATTGCATAATATATGCTGTCTGAAAAATGAAACTGCATCGAACAACATGTTTTGAGGTATAAGATAGACAAGGATAGAATTAATTCAGATGGGTAGCTGCGTCAGCATGCGTAGGCTGCAAAGGAACAAGTTACAGGTTTATTCCCTGCTGAAAAGAGAAGAGAGAAAGCAACGTTTCGGCTGTGAAGCCTTCTTCAGGTGTGAGCCTTTTTTTTTTATAGCTCACACCTGAAGAAGGCTTCCCAGAGGAAACGTGTTTTCTCTCTTCTCTTTTCAGCAGGGAATAAACCAGTTACTTGTTCCTTTGCAGGATATAATTAAGTCTACAAGGAATGTAGCATTGGTCCCTATAACATCGCACTGGGGGTGCAAACGCCAGCCACAGAGTCAGTCAGTTGCATCTGCTGTGCTCGTGTAACCTGTTGCTGACTGTTTGCAGAAGGAGGAGTACTGAGGCGCCGGGCAGTGTTCTGCCCGTTGAAGCTGCTGTCTGAAGGCGATACCTCGAGACCCCTGATCCGTCTGTCCTGTTGGCGGTACATGGGGTCATCCCGGGCGGGGCCCTGCACTTCTGTCACGTCTCAGAAGTGCACCGATGCCGACATCTGTTAAGCGGTTTTCGACTGTACATATTGTTGACCCAAGGCATTGTGGTAATGTCAGGTTTATTGAAGGTAGCAGCGGCTCGTTAATCATTACAAACCCACTGATGGTTCGAAGTAAGGGCATTTTGATACTGTATCTTTATTGATATAATGTTCTGTATGAATAGCGTGGTCTTACGAAATTACAATAAGAACTTTTACAGGGATGCTGTAAATAATGATAAGAAACGACAATGAGCTCATGGGAAGAGTGGAGTCACTGAAATCTCTTTACACCCTGATATCTTTAGATGTCGTCCAAGCTTCTGTCCAGAAGAGGTGTTTTCATGACGACTGTACGAGTGAAATTTTACAGCTTTAGTCTTATAGGATAGAAAATATTTTTTTCCCTTCTTTATCCAACTATTGAATATTGATGCAGTAAGTTTGATAAGCTGTCTTTCTCTATTTTATTTACTTGTATTGTGTCCGATAAGTCTATAAGTGACCTGATGTTCTTTACTCTTTTCATGCCTGATAGCATTTCCTGGTTGTCAAGGTGTTGTGAGGTGGGGTGCAGTACAGGGACCAGTGATGCCAGGCAGTTGTCAATTTTGGGTTTACTTTATTCCTTAAAGCCAAGAATCCACGCATATATGCAACAAATGTGCACGTTTAACATTCAGTTTATAATCCTTGGGCAGACAGTTATATGAATAGGTTGATGCACAGGATAGGCTTCTGAAGATCCCTTATTGGTAAGATTATAGGCAGAAAAAAAGTTATATTTAGATTTTTTTTAAATATGCATTTGTGCCTTCAGTTCTTTAGTGAGAGCACACATGAGGCGCTAAGTCTTGGTTTTTTGAGGGCGTGGGCAAGATTGTTCAGGGAATCTGGTGCTCGCTACAGAATGAATGCCTTGGTATTGGGTGGGAGTGACCCAAGCGAGCTCCGTGCTGCCGCCTGTACAGTGTCCTGAGCTGAGGTTTGTGTCTGGCTGGGCGTGGGCTCCTATTGGTTCCACTTGTGATCTCTGGTTGGCTCCTTAGCCACAGAGCCACTGAATTTATTGACCATCTACAACTCCTTGTATTAGGAATTTGTCTTTGCGCGTACCCCAGCTTGCTCTCCAGGAGACACACAGACAGAGAGAGAAGCTGGGGGTCAGAGCGCAGGGTCAGCCATTTATACGGCACCCCTGGAGCAGCTGGGGTTAAGGGCCTTGCTCAGGGGCCCAACAGTAGGATTCCTCTGCCGGCTGCGGGATTCAAACCGACAGCCT